CTGAGGGGCCCTCGGGGAGGGCCGCGGGCTGACGGGTGGCCAGGGAGCGGATTCACCAGCCTCCGCATTACCGGGGGCCTGCCGCTGTCCGGGAGGCGAGAGGGTTATGCCTCCACCTCCTCCGCCTCCTCCTCCTCGGGAGGTTCCCCCTCTGCCGTGCCAAGCAGCCAGGCTTCTCCGAGGGGGAAGAGGCAGCCTGCCAGGTCTGTGGTGGAGCTGATCAGGAGAGGCAGAGGTGTATCTGGGTGTTGGTCGAAGGGAACACAGAGTCATATTAGTGGTTTAATTTGTGAGGCTGTGAGGGGTCGCCTGGGTCATTGAGTTTAGGTCGCTGCAGTCATGGGAAATAGAGTTGAGGCAAGCCCATAGAGTCCCAACCCCTTGCCACAAGCCACTCTCTCATCTTCCCTTCCGCTCCCACTCCACAGCACAGTGTGGGAAAAGTTATAGTGTACCAAAACATCTATGTGCTACCCAGAGAGCAAAGGAGACAGGTGACAACAGTGCATGAGGGCCTGCAGTGGCGGGTAGTGGGAAATGAATGAAAATGAGCTCTTGTAGATCACTGTGCTCCTTGCGATAAGGGGAGACAAAGAAACTACCAAAACTCCTCACAGACCCCAAATTCGCCCCAAATGTGTGAATATAACGTGCCAGGTGAGATCTGAGCCTGAGAGATCTGTCACTTGGGATGTCAGCATACACTGTTGTGACAATTAGTTGTGGTAAGTGTAGCAGCTCAAAGGAAGGCAAAGAAACTGGAACTCAGTTTGTGTAATCAAAGGGAGAGTAATTCTCCCTGTGTCCCTGCAGACATGCTGCAGAAATGTTGCTTCTGCACATGGGTGTAACTACAGGCTAAATACTGTGAAAGAAATGGATTACTGTCGAGCTTCTTTCAAATGGTACTATTTTAAGAGCTGAAAACTACCTTGCATTAGTAGCATCTAGAATGAGAACTACAAGTGTCATGAAAGATTAAGACATGAATTTAATCGGAAAGTGCAAGATATAAAGCATTTGTACTATCACACAAAGTTCAGTCTGTATGCATTTCTGAATTCACGGGATGCCCTTCTTACTATTTCACCATATGTCCAGACAGGCCTATTCTACTTTGGCATCTGAATACCTTATGCAATAAGCATGTCATAAGCTTTGGAAGTTTTAGCCACGAGCACGTCTGTTTATCAGTTTTAATGACTACAGTGGAAAAATTATAAATCTAGCTGCTTAACAGCAAATTGAACTACAATGAGTTTTGGTCAACAAAACCAGACTAAAATTTGGGAACTAAAAGTTTTTCATGGAAACAAAGTAGGACCAAGCTATTACAGAAGTGCTGGTATAAAATCATTATTCTGAAACTATTAAGTGGCACTGCTTTTAATTCTCTTGTGGAAGAAGTACCAGAAATCTGACTTTCAAAGCCTTCTGTCATAGGTTTAATTGCTAACTTTTGGATCACCATTACTTCATTAAACAGTTCCTTCAATGAACTGATCAACCTGCATCTTAGGTAGTTAGCTGCCTTGTCTGAAAGGCAATGCCAGGTTTCATTGTAAGCTGCTTTATAATTTCTAGATTGTCTTCTCAAAGATGACAAAATTAACTTGTAATTCTCTAAACAGCTCTGAGATCATGGGCCTAAAGTGATAAAACTGTTTGCATTAGCTTGCAAATGGTTGTTTACATTTAGTTGCAGCACAGATCACTTCCCAGACAATTACTTTGCACCTCCAATGGCAAATTAAAGGCCACAGTATTATTTTTTCCTTGTACCTAGTCAAATTCATGCATAAATTAATGCAGATACTACCTTTATCCTACCTCTAAACCTTCATTTGGAAAACTTTCACGTAAACTTTTGTTAGTGGCCTATTCTAATAACTAGGGATTGATATCCAGGCAAGTATGTTGTAAATCACCAAGGAGTTACCCAGCAGATGGAAATAAAAGTTACTGCATAACAACATACTCTGAGAGATGGTGAACTGGAATAGAACAGAGTGCTGAAATTGATACTAACATGTAAGTTTCTCAGTAGTATTGTGGAGCAGGCTGAGTAAATTATAATGTATTTCCTAAATTTTCTTTAAAATGCACCGTAAAATGGGAAAAATACCGGTTACATTCAAATCTTCCATTGATTTTAATTGGATTAAGAGTGCAGCGTGGGGGAAGCCCCTGAACTTCATGGAGTTCTCTTGCTAACATCTTATTTGCACAGTATGGTTTCGTTCTGTGTTGGGGAAAATAAAATTACTTGGGTTTATGTCTGTAGTTTCAGCTCCATTGTGATCCTGCAAAACTCTCTTGACATGATTATTCTTTTCTAGGTGACAACCATCGGCCAACCACAAGACTGTCACAATGAGTTTTGTTGAATATGGAGATACGATACAGGATGGGGACACAGCTATTGTGTTCTTGGGGCATGAATCCATGTTTCCTGTGAAAGTCCAGCATGGCACTGTAACGCAGACTAAGTATGGGGTCATCAGGCATTCCACAGACCTCATAGGCAAGAAGTATGGCTCCAAAGTGACCTGCAGTAAAGGAGGATGGGTGTTTATTCTTCATCCAACTCCAGAACTGTGGACCATGAATCTTCCACACAGAACACAGATTCTGTATTCCACTGACATCTCTATAATCACCATGATGTTAGAACTCAAGCCAGGCTCCATAGTATGTGAATCAGGTAATAATTAATACACTGAAATCCTTTATTAAGAACTAACACCACACTTCCATGAAAAAAACAGGCTTATCTTTACATTTTGCAAAAAGTCTTTTTTTTTCCATTGTGATATAATTTTCCCAGCCTACACATTGAGTAACTCTGTTTCACATGCACGAGTTATCAGCTGCTGTTTCTTCAGCAAGTGATGTTACCTTAGTATGCTGGCCTCATATATGGGTATGCCTTTGAGTATGTGTTTGATTAATTCATCTTCTTAGAGTAAATACATAAACGTTTTTCTTTGCCTTTTCTAAAACTCTTGTTAAGTACTTCAGAAATATTTTTAAATGCATGATTTGAATCAAAATTCAGGCTTTGCATTTGCAGTTTCAAAAAACATAGTTGAGATAACCCAGTGAAAGAGACCCTGATGATAGGGTGTTGAACTAATAAGAGTAATAAATTGGCACTATTTTTATGATGTGATACCATGTAAGTACATATATTTTGTCTTTCTCTTCTCAAACTTGTGATCTACTTGTACCACTGCAACTGCATGCAAAGTCACTATAGCTGTATGATACAATGGATGATGTGTTCATCACAGGGCTGTATTTTGTTTTTAAACTTGGTTTAATTTATTACAGCTTCCATGATTCTGTTTAATTTGCAAATAAGAAGTGAAATTTTCTGTTAATAGATACTTCCCTGGTTAAATACAGCTAATAATAATGCTTTCATGGCTTTATTACTGCAGGCAGTATAAGGCTTGCTTGATTTGAGTGCATCTCTGCAGTTTGGAAAAATATGAACTGAGGTAGTTTGTGCTTGTTTTTTCTGGCTGTTTCATTTGAATGTTTTTATGAGGCAGTTTCATACACTTCTCTCTGAAGCATAGATATGGCAAAGGATCAGGATGATGGGATTGTGCTGCACTGCATTTTCTTGCATTTAACATTTCCTGTTCCCACCCAAGCATAATTTTGGGCAGCTTTTCAGGCATAATGACCACTTTACAACACAACTGAAGTACCACTCATCTCTGCATCCAGTTGCACCCGTTAAGAAACAGGTGGTATATGGAGCTGGTTGCTGTATAGCAGCGCTTGAAACAGGCAAAGCCATATGCAGAAACCTCTGGTTATTTTAAAATGGTTGGATCCTATGAGTTTACAGTTTGGTTTGTAGGACAACTGGGCATTTTTAGGGTTGTCATGGGAAGTAGCATTGTTCATTGGGCAGCTCTTCACCTCTTCCCAGCCCTGCTTTCTTTAGTCAGGATGGGAAAAATAAACACAACCAATTATTCAGGGAGGGGGAGATTGGAACTGCTCCACGCCTTGCCTCACTTGGAATAGGCAAATGTTGAAGTACAGAGCTGCACATAAAACATTTTCAGTAATGTCAAAGGTACCTAGAGAGGATGAAAATGTTTAAAATCTCATTTATCTAAACAGCTAGGAAATAGAAACACTTGATGAGGTAACCTATCCAGATTCTCAAAAATGTTGGGAAAAGTCAAAAGTCATAACCACAAACAATCCTTTTTTGCTAATGGGAAAATGTACCCAGGTTTATTTTAATGCCTATGCTGTCAAGTACTATAACTTCAGCTTTCCAGGAAAAGTGAACAGTTTTGCTGCTGTAGTTGTGCTTGTATTGCTTGAAAGATTCACTGTTCATGAAGAAAGAAGGAAAGAGTATTGCATGAAATTCATCTGGTTAACCCTGAAGCAAGAGATCTTACTGCAAATTTGTTTGCAACTGGCCGGAAGTGGTGATGTGAATTAAAAGTTTTACAGGTATCGACCACTGGAGCCTCCAGTGTGATGATGTAACCCATTTTGGTGCCATCCTAAATGAGACAGTATTCAGTGATCCAAAATCATAAGTTCTAGATTAACCTTGTGGCCTAGACAGAACCAGCTCAATGGCAATTATAGAAACAAGACAGGAAATCTGGTCTAGTAATGATATTTGAGTCTGCTTCTTGCTGGTGCTTGGTTTAAGTGTATTTTGAGCATTAATTATCATGGAGGTCTGTCTTTTTTATTATTTAAAATTGAACTGATATATATAGTTGCTTATGGACTAGCAAAGCAGGTATTGCAAACAAGCCAGGCTCATTTCCTCTTGTCTTACTAATGAGACCGTGGAAATGTGCCCTGCATTTACCCAGTGGAAGCAAGCAGAATTGTGGATTAGTCTCCACAACTCTATGAAGAAAGAGTCAATAA